GGTCAGTATTGAGGGAGTGTCACACTATTGGATGGTCAGTGCTGATGGAGTGCTGCACTGTCGGATGGTCAGTGCTGAGGGAGTGCCACACTGTCAAAGCATTTGTTATGAGGGCATGCTGAAATGTTAGAGGGTCAGTATTGAGTGAGTGATGCGCTTTCAGAGGATACTTACAGTGCACTGTCAGTACAATGGTCTGCTCTAGTTGAATGTCGGTAACTCACTCTGCAGGTGAGAGTTTGTCCCTGGTGGCTGAGTGATGGTGTCAGGGTCAGAACAGAAGTGTAGGTCAGAGTGACACCATGCTGAGGTAGTGTTTGAGACTGATCCAGGTACGGCACTGGGAGTGTCCCAGATTAAGGCAGGAACTGTTCCATTGCACATTGTGTTGAAGGTGCAGCTTAGGTCCACACGCTTATCTGCGATAATTTCTACAGGGAGCATCATGGGTTCACCTGTGAAATTTGACACACAGAAAATGGATCCTTTTTGGTAAATATAACATTCAGTCCAAATAGAAATCATAATCCCACCAGAGAAAGCTCTTAAGCAGGATGATATTAGAACTGAGTACAATGATCAACAAAAGACTTTCCACTTTTCTGACATGGTGAAGTGTCTGTCACTGAGTTTAACACACTTCCACTCCGACACTCACTGGACAATACTGGGTGAAAGTGGGGGAGCAGCTCAGACCCCAGGGTGAGCTGGCTCCTCATTTTTTCCAAAAATCTGCCAAATTCCAATTAAATCCTGCCTGCCGCAGGACAGCAACTATTTTTAAGTATCTCAGCTAGAACAATGAAACCTATGATCAGAGTTTTGATCAGAATTTTGCTTTCGGGAGCTTGCTGTGCACTATTTGGCTGCTGTGAATCCTTCACAAAAGCAACAACTCCATTTGAAGAATTACTTCATTGTCTGTTAAGCTGATTTGAATATCCTGTGATGGTGAAAGGTGCTTTAGAAATGCATGTCTCACTTTTATCCCTTTGTAAGACATTTAAACAAGATTAGCAGGATAGATGGGAATGGATAAACTGATAACATTGATGGAGGTGTTGTATTTTGGTAAAACAAACATTGGCAGGACTAATACAATTAAACGTAGGGCCTTGGGTATTATTGTAGAACTGAGAGACTTCGCTGTTCTGGTACATAATTCTTTGAAGGTCGCATTACGTATAGATGAGGTGGTTAAAAAGACATTTAGTGTGCTTTCCGTCATTGCTCAGACCTTTGCGTTTAGGAGTTGGGACGTTATGTTGGGTTGCAGAGGCCATTGGTGAGTATTGAGGGAGTGCCGCACTGTCAGAGGGTCAGCACGGAACAAGTGCTTCACTGTTAATGTGTCAGTACTGAGGCCGTGTTGCAATGTCAGAGGGTCAGTAATGAGGGAGAGGACATTATTGGAGGGTCAGCACTGAGGGAGTGCCGCACTGTCGGAGGGTCAGTGCTGAGGGAGCGCCGCACTATCGGAGGGTCAGTTCTGAGGGAGTACCATACTGTCGAGGGGTCAATATTGAGAGAGAGTTCTGCACTGTCGGAGGGTCAGTTCTGAGGGAGTACTGCACTGTCGGAGGGTCAGTGCTGAGGGAGCGTTGCACTGTTGGATGGTCAGTGCTGAGGGAGTGCCGCACTGTTGGAGGGTCAGTGCTGAGGGAGTGCCGCACTGTTGGAGGGTCAGTGCTGAGGGAGCGCCGCACTGCTGGAGGGTCAGTGCTGAGGGCACACGGCACTGTCGGAGGGAGAGCGCTGAGGGAAAACTGCACTGTTGGACGGTCAGTGCTGACCGAGAGCCTCACTGCCACAGGGTGAGTGCTGAGGGAGCGCTGCACTTTCGGAGTGTCAATGCTGCGGGAATACTGCCCTGTCGGAGGGTCAGTACTGAGGAAGTGTGGCACTGTCGGAGGGTCAGTGTTGAGTGAGTGCCACACTGTCGGAGGGTCAGTACTGAAGGAGTGCCGCACTGTTGTAGGGTCAGTATTGAGGGCGTGCTGCAATTTCGAAGGGTCAGTGTTGACGGAGTTCCGCACTGTTGGAGCGTCAGTACTGAGGGAGCACTGCGCTGTTGGAGGGTCAGTGCTGAGGGAGCACCGCACTGTTGGAGGGTCAGCACTAAGGGAGTGCCGCACTGTCGGAGGGTCAGTGCTGAGGGAGTCCTGCACTGTTGGAGGGTCAGTGCTGAGGGAGTGCCGCACTGTCGGAGGGTCATTGCTGAGGGGGAGCCGCAGCATCAGGATGGCCACTTTTGGAGGTGTTGTTAGTCGTAGACTCCATCTGCCCTCTCAGCTGCACCCAGCTCTTACGAAGAACAGAGAATATTGTCCCTGGAAACCCAGGACCAGTATTTATCCTTCAACCTACCTCAACTACAAAAACAGCACATGGTTTATGTCATTGTTGGATTGTTATTTGTGGGAACTTGGTGTGCACGAACTGTTTCCTGCATTGAAACAGTGATTGCATTTCCAAAAGAAAATTTCTTCCTTGGCAGTGAGCCTTGTTACTTCCTGAGATGGTGAATCGTGCTCGCCCAGTTTGACTGAAGCCATCTGACACACCGCGTGGAGTGTCGTTCACACCCACAGTCGGATTGTTCCTGTCTCTGCGCTAGAAGCTTTGGGTACAAGTCCTCCTCCAACACTTGATGGAGAAAGATGAGAGGTGACTTGATAGAGGTGTATGAGAGGTGACTTGATAGAGGTGTACAAAATGATCAGAGGTATAGATAGAGGAGAAAGCCAGAGACTTTTTCCTAGGGTGGAGGTAACTATTATGAGGGGGCATAGTTTTAAAGTGAGTGGAGGTAGATACAGGGGAGACGTCAGAGGTAGGTTCTTTACTCAGAGAGTGGTAGGGGCATGGAATGCATTGCTAGGAGGGTAGTGGAGTCGGCCTCATTAGGGGCATTTAAGCGGCTATTAGATAGGCATATGGATGATAGTATAAAGTAGCGGTGGAGGTTAGATAGACCTTAGGTTTAGGGTAAAAGTTCAGCACAACATCATGGGCCGAAGGGCCTGTACTGTGCTGTACTGTTCTATGTTCTATGTTCTAAAAGAAGGTGCAGCTAAAGATCCACCAGAGAATGTTCCCAACTCCTGCCAATGGCAGATAGTAACAGCAGGACAGATGTCTGCTTGGCCGAAGGACAGAAAGGATTTGGAGCCTCTCTCATCCATGGTCAATAGCCACAGTCTACAACATGTCTGTCACAGCACCAACTGATGACAATACCTCCATGATCGCTGGCCATGGTCCTGAAACCAACAGCGACGCTTTCTGCCTCTGCCTGGGGAAAGGACAATTGCATGAAAATAAGCTGATGTCCACATTCACCGTTAGCAGGAGGTAAATTAAAATCACTGGCACTCTTGTGGGTGAGTGAGTGGGCAAATGCATGGCAGGTACGGTATAAAGTGGATGAATGTGAGGCTATCCACTTTGGTAGTAAAAATAGGAAGGCTGGTTATTATTTGAGTGGCTGTAAATTGAGAGAGGAGAATGTTCAGTGAGGTCTGGGTGTCCTTGTGCACCAGTAGCCGAAGGTAAGTGCCCAGGTGCTACAGGCTAACTGTACATTAGCCTTCATCGCAGGACGATTTGAGTACAAGCAAGGATGTCTTGCTGCAATTATACAGGGCGCTGGCAGGGCTACACCTGGAATAAGGTGCGCAGATTGGTCTCCTTACCTGAGGAAGGATGTTCTTCCCATAGGGGAGCACAACGAAAGTTAGTCTGCCTGGGATGGCAGGACTGATATCTAAGGACAGATTGAGTTGTTTGGGACTGTATTCACAGGAGTTTCGAAGAAAAAGGGGGGG